TCTTCAGCTGCACGCAGCTCACTGGGAGCTCCCTGTGTGACAAAGAAAACTCTGCACCTGAGCCTGGGTAGGTGGGTCACTGCTGCCCTTCCTGTCAGTGTGCAGGATGTAACATCAGCTGTTCAAGAAGAGACATCCTTAGCTTCTACCTGCAAAGGTGCTGTGACTCTGGAATTAGTGCCACATATGGGGTTAAAAAACAGGACACATGCAAAGAACAGTAGTCAGACAAGAGACAGAATCTTGGTATTTTTAGCAGCTTACCATCCAATGGACTCTCCAGTATGATGGACTGCTGTCACTGCATCGCAGATGAGTTACACCCAGTAATTACTGACATGCTGTTTCCCTGTGTCCTTTCACCTTGTCATCTGCTTTGGCTATATGCCGTCCAGAGAAGGCTCATCTTTTTGTACAGTCTACAGTAACACACATTCGATGCTGCTTTCACCTCAATGAGTAACTAAACTTCCGAGGAAACAAAGCTAATTCAGACAGTGTAAAAACAAGCAGGGGCTCCATACCAGCAATGATGCAAAACAGTCTTGCACAAAGGGATGTTAACCTCAGCCCATGAAACTGAGCAGAAAAATATAATTCCAGGCTTCTTCCCCAATCTTTCAGGCAAGGTGACAAGCATACAGATTTTTTAAAAACAACGGCCAGTCTTGTGAGAAGCACCACAAGGCCTTAGCTCAGTTGCAGAAAAGGAACTGGCAACAGTTAAAAATTGCCAACCTTGGAATTTAAATCAAAAAAGCCATATACCAATGCACATAAGGCAAACTGGTGTCTCAATAGAGCAATAGGAGGAATAGAGTTTAGAAAAGAAAACATCTTTAGGAACCCCTCTTACTCTTCTGTTACTATACCAAGCAGTCAGCTGCATCTAACCATGGCTGGACTCCTTTAACATCTCCCATCCAAGCAAAGTGACTTCTTGTGACAGCTGATGAAATCATAACCACTGGTGTTATAACAGAAAGTTACACACACACCCCCAACAAAATCTGGAAATTTAGATACTGAAAATACTCTTTCTTTCCTTCCCCTACTGGGCCTCCTCTCCCGTTTCAGGGCTTGCTTGTTCCAGAGTAAAGTCTCATAACTGGGCTGCAATTCTTCATTTCCATTCACTGCTCACAAGTTCAGCTGTTTTCAAAATACATGAGCTATTACTAAGACGGGGCTAAGAGGAAAGATCACCAATCCAAGCCACAAAAGTATTCAAGCTGCAGAGAACGCTTTGAATGATTTTGAGAGTACTTCTTCCCTCAGTCTTACCTTGCAAACAGGAGCACAGAAAGCTGTGTGCTGGGACGTTATGGACAAGATTAAGCAGGTATTCTTCCCTGTAACTCAGCACTGCCCACAAGGCTGGAAAGAAGGGACTAGAAAACTGCAGGAGGTTGCTTCTTTATTTCTCCAAAAGCCCAAGTTCTCCACCCTGCCTCACCCCCACCATAGATATGACCTCTGGTCCATTAGTGACATCGCAGCTGTAAGGGATTCTGTCCCTTCCTTCCCTGCTTCCTCCTGTCACAATTTCATATTGTTACACAGACAAGCACTGTTACTGCTGGGCTGTTGAACATGGATGGGTATGAGGGAAAGCATCACCCATTCTTTTCTCTTGGAAGAACATCCCTATATCCCTCTGTATGTTTTTGTCCTGAATCTTGGGGGCTGTAGGGAAGAAGTAGGTATATGACAGGCAGTTCTGGCAACTGCTATATGCTCTCTCTAGGAAGGAAAAGACAGACAAAACTAGAAGGAAGATTTAGAAAGAAAACAGAATGTTTTAATTAAAATGCTGAAGAAAAACATGGAGCAGTTGTAACTCCACCTCTGACAGAAACTCTTCCAACTGCATTTAACATGATTTTGGAGCTCAGTATTACTCTATAATAATAATGGCCAGTCTTCGCGAGCGAAGATCCGGGGAAGGTCTTTCCACCTTCCAGCCTGCGCATTGGATTTTTTAGGTGAGACACAGTGTGCGCGGAACTGAGCCCACCCTTTAATCCTAAGGTTCATCTGCCGGGGCCAAGCGAGCTTGGACGGTGGCAGCGAGGTCCTTAGGACGTAGGTGGGTTGCCTTTAAGGGCTAACGAGCCCCACCTGCCCGGGAGTGGCCCTGACCGGGAATCGAACCCGGGTCTCCGCGGTGATAGCGCGGCGCCTTTACCACTGGACCACCAGGGGCTCCTAAGTATTACTCTACTCCCGTCCATAAACTGGGATAGTAGATCCAAAGCAGACCAGGGTAAACATGCAGAAGAGACCAAGGAGTTTGACTGAATCTCAGTACCAGGCATTTGCGAAGTGAGAAAGACCCAGGGACCACTGCTCTCCCCAGCTGGACCATGCCTAAGATAAAGTGCATATGCCCACAGGCAGAGTAGGATTTAACTCATTAGTATGTGCTTTGCTGACAAAGCCTCTGCACCAACAGCTACATTAAGGAGGGCAGTGGAGGAGAAAGAAGCACACAGCAGCAGCCCGTCTCCCATGGATCCCTCCTTTGATGTTTTTGAGGTGAGCTGGTCATCACAGTGCACACTCTCCCTTCTCAACATTACCAGCACAGCAGAGGAAGCCCTCCAAAGCAGCACATCTGGAAAACATTGCAGTGATGACAACATGGGATGAGAGCAGGTGATGCGATGTCCAGTTCCAAGCTGATACCTGGATTTTGCAGACCCTGCTAGAGGTAAATGTACAGTGATAAACCAAGTTGTTTGGTCAGGGAAAGAGTGGACTGGAGAAGCAACCAAAGTGATAAAGCGAAAAATAAGGGAAGTGACCCAGAAAAATATAAAAGACAGTGGTTGAAGCACAGCTGTCTGCTTACATCATGCACAACTGGGAATGCAGGCCAGACAAGTTACAGAGGTTTTCCAGATCTAATGCTAAACACAATTACAACCTCTCTTCCAGTCTGGCCTCAGTACAAATATACCCCACCCTAAGATCTCATTACACTAAGCAAAGCAGAGTTTTACAAGTACTCCATTTCTGTAGCCAGCACAAAAGCACAATTCCAATTAAGAAGTGCAAAAGGAACTGTTTATACCAGGCTTCCCTAACCACCACAGCACAGGTCAGTATTATCACTACAGACCTATTATTACTCTGTTTTCACTGTACTGTACAAATAATATCAAAATATTGTATTATGAATATCCAATTACTATTTAGTTTTCAATATCCAGTATTGATATTCAAAGGACAAATTCAGAGGAACAAAAGAAAGGCAAAGGAAACCAAAACTTTACATGTTACATACATATTCTTGACCCCAGCTCTTGAACTTGGGCTTTTAAGTGAGGTACACGAAGAGACGGATTGCAGGATCAATCCCTCTCACCAAAGACAGATAAATGAGTACAACAGTGAGGAACTATCTTCTCCGCATTACAATTTGCTGTCTTTCACTCTCTAAGACACTACACAGTGATAAACCTCTTTTAATTTCTATTTAACTTCTATCACATTTCAGGCTGTGAAATATCAAAAGGAAATGTGTAGTAACCAAACCTTTCTCCCCCTAAAAGAGGAAAATACACCTTTAGAGTAATTCAAAGACTGGTTATCTGTAATAGACACTGAGTAAGAAATATTCTTAAGCTACTACATGTGTGTGTGCACTCAGGACATAGACAAGAACAAGTAGGGCCAGTGGTTAAGAGCAGAAACAAAAGCAGGACTTTTCCTATGACAAGCCAGGAGGAGCATCTGGAAACATAAAAAAAGAAAAAGAAAAAGGAAAGGCGTTCTGGACTATGAAGGCAGGAGGAGCAAACCTGTAAACTTGAGGCAGCAGAGCAGAGAGAACACTGCTGAACACCCGCAAATAAAGCAAGAGAACTGAAATACAGATAGAGTCTGGAACTATCTTAGCAAAACGGGATATATGAAACTCAGAAGGAATTCAGAAAAGTTCTCAGCTGTTTTACTTTTGTAACATGAAATATTAAGGAGAATGACACAAAAGCATTTATGGAAGTATCAGCATATGCATCAGCACACTCCCAAGCACTGAACCACAAGAGATAAAATGGCCACTAGTCTGCAGTGGCAGCCATTTCACCTGCTTACAGAGGTAACACAGAGCATGCTACGAGGGGCACAGTTTGACATACAGATCTGCAAAAAAAGCAACCACGAACTGCAGCTATTGGAAGAAAGGCATAGCTGCAGACAAAGTACCAGTCAAATTCCTAGTTTCCATCCACATGTGAATAACTAGAACAAGCACACAGAAAACAGGAACTAAAATTTATATGAAATGAATATCCATGAAATGAAGAGGAAGAATGTCAGAACAAGAGGTATTTACTGATAATGTACCAACTCAGTATCTTGATTCCCTTTTTTAATTCACAATTCCAAGTAGGCACATTGTAGAAAGGCTATCAGTATATATCTAATTCTTTACAGTGCTTCACTAACAACAAACCAAGAGAGCCATGTGCACGATCTATAACCTGTGGTTTGAAAGATTAGCTCTCTTCAGAAACAACAGATAGTAAGAATTTACACAACGATGTCTACAACAAGCCCTGCCACTGTGGCTTCAAAATCCACTTCAAAATCTCTGGCAGATTAACTGAGCTGCAGCTCTGTTTTTCTCTAGCAGTCATCAAAGCTTTCAGTATAGTATGATCAGTATGGTATGATTTTACTTTTAAAACTCATAAGACTTATATTCTCAGTGACTCAGGTGAAGTCATAACATAACATCAAAGGCCTGATGCTAAAGTTTCCAAGGCATTTGGGAAGATTATTCATGTCAATATAAAGTATTTTAGAACTCTTACAAACTAAATTCCTGGAGGATAAAAAAGGTTAATATAATGAAAAATATCCAACAAGTTTTACTTTTCTGGCTTAGTTGTAGCTTTGATACAAGATGAATAGATTTCTGAAGTTAGCCAGCACTTCAGAAAGGGGAGGTAGTGCAAAAGATACCAAAAAGAACTCACACTCTCATGAGCTACAATTAAACTCTTTATTCAGTTCTCCATGTTATTAGGACAGGGATCATAATGACTGTTAACGCCATGTGTGGACATCACTCCATTCCACATCATTGCTGGTCCATCCTTTCTTCCCTTCATTGTGATGGAGGCATTATCAAAAGGCTAAATGTCCCCACAAGAGGCAAAAGACGACCTCCTGTTGCTGCAGAAAAACCTAGAGAAATAAACCATTAAAAAAGTTAGTGTTTGCGCCAAAATATGAACACCAGAAATTCAAGGAACCATCATAAAAAAAAAAAAAATCTCTATACCCAGCACCTATTTGGCTTCCTTGATAGCTGCATTACAGACACACCAAGGACTGAGCCATGGGTACCAAACTCCTCTTCTGACCTTGGAAAAGGTCTTTCCAGGTCAAGGAGTGAGATGCAGTGAAGGCTGTGTTCTTAAAGATAAAATCTAGTTCCTGTTACCTTTCCAGTGGGTAGAGTTCAATCTCTGCAACTGGTGATCCAGCATCTTTCACACGCATTAGACTCCTGCGGAAATATTTCATGTGGAGGAAAAATTGTATATAAGTTTAGCAAAGTCAAACTGCAGACTCTTCCTGCCTAGTTCTCCCACTGATAAAGCTTCAGTATTTGCCATCCAGTAAACAAACATTTCCATTCAGGAATGGACAAGTATTCCTACATCACATTACAATTGCACTACTCCTCCCATACACTGTTGTAAAGATGGGTGGGGAAAGTAACCATAACATCTGTGTTGTTTCTGCTGGCCTTGTATTTGTTAGATGCATGGGAAAATATACACACAAGCAGACCCAGTTTCCTCTTGAAACTCTCAAAATACAAGTTGCAGACTTAGTAAGCAACACCACTGAACAGAAAAAATCCAGAGAATAAAGACTGCCAGACAGTGCTTTGCAAATTAGCAGTGAGGAAGGGAACCTGCACATACATCCTTGGGCAAATCAGACTTCTTGTAAATGAAATATTTACAGATGTGAAATATATACAGTTGCACAGTCAATGCGATGTTCCCATTCCTCATCAAGACAACTGAAACAATCATCTTGACCCCTGGCCTCCCACTACATTGATATGACAGAACCAAGAGGACACCTGTGTATGCTGCTACTGCTTAGTCCTCTCTCTCTGCTTCATAGTACCTTCATGTTCAGTCCATGTAACCCTGTGTACAGTTTTCACCTCTCCCGTTCTCCTCTCCCCAAAACGTAAGTATTTTATGACACAAATAAACTAAGCATCAAGGAAGCCCAGTAGTACCACTGCTTCCAGGAAATCTGCATCAAAAAAATGCATGGCTGCCCAAAGAGGTAGCTTTGGGTTACTGGTTAATATAGTATGGACTTTTCCTCCCTCTCTAACAACAAAGGCTAATTTGTACAAGCAGGATTGTCCCAATAAATTCTGGAAATCAGTATATATGCCTGAAAATTCATAAATGTGAAAAATTTTATTTATGTATTTATTTATTTATTATTTAATTTTATTTATTACAACAATGCATTTTGTTCAGATTGGACATCAGGAGGAATTTCTTCACAGAAAGGGTTGTCAAGCATGGGAATGAGCTGCCCAGGGAGGTGGTGGAGTCACCATGACAGAGAAGACTGGATGTGGTACTTAGTGCCATGGTCTAGTTGACATGCTGGTGTTCATTCAAAGGTTGGGACTCAATTTCAGAGGTCTTTCCTAACCTAACTGATTCTGTGATTCTGTGAAATTAGTTTTTCCAATTAGAACACTTTATTGAAAAAAATCCAATGACCTCTAATAAAACTTAATTTCTTTTCCATTCATGTATGAAAAATCTCAATCATATTGCAATTTGTCTAAGAAAAAAATTCAGACCTGAGCTGGAAAACTGTATCTATATCATATTACATTAAACCTCAGATTAATATAACACAGTACATGTACTTGGGAAAATGAAAAGCATTACATGATGAGGGAAATTTAAAAATTCATTGTTGATCAAAAGCAACTGCACTGTCTACAGATACAGAAGACACTATTGACAAACACTTGTCACTATTGACATACTACTTGTGTATCACAAAAAAACCATAAAGCTCAGCAAAATCTATGTTAGACTTCTACTCTGTCCCCATCCAGACAAGGCCAAGATTAGCACAGCTGACTGTTCTTAGAGAGCACTCCACACCTATATTCCACACCCTGTTAAATCAGTCTTAGCCCTATGCACCACTGACATTTCAGAAGCCAATACTTTCTTGGTAAGTGATGCATACAGAAGCACATCGAGGAGTTCTGAAAGCCAAAAGAAATGGCAACAAAAGATAAAGATGCAATTCAATGTATGCAACACTTTCAAAGTTCTTTCTCAGATGCTTCTTTGTCTGCTCTTATTAGAAGATAAACCAAAAAGCCTTCTCCCCAGCAACATCAATGACTACTTGACTGACACCAGACTTGGGATATAACTAGTTGTGTAGTTCCTATGCATATTAACTGCTCTCCCTCAACCATTCTGCTTCCTATAGAAATGGATAACAGAATGGCATATTTAACTCCCCAAGCACACTCCTCTCCCTGCAAACAAACAAAAAATATCTATTACCCTAAGAAAGAGTGCTGTACGTATCTGCATACAGCAAACTACCTCCAAATAAAAAAGCAGACACATAGAAATTCACATAAATCTTTTATAAGCCCTTCCCACACAGAGACTTGGCAGAGCTTAATATGTTGACATATTACTATGCAGACTCTGTATATTCTAGTAACACTTGTACTGTTCCTAAAGGGAACAAAAGAGGGATGCAGAAATACCTAGAAAATGCCTTGCATGAGTGCAATGTAAATGTTATCTTTTCTGTCAGCCTAATCCATCATCTTGCTTTCTGTTAGGGTGAGGATCCTACCCAGTCCCTTCTTTCACACAGGTGTCACCCCCTTGCCTGCCCGTGCAAGCCTATGACAAGAGTAGAAATATTCTGCATTCTTCAAATCTCTACCACATCAAAGATACAGAAAACTGCATGCTTTGCTATGTCACATATTTAAATGAAAAAAAAATCAAATCCCTTTGTACTGACAGCCACATGCAGAAATGTGGGGGATCTAAGACAGTATTCTAAATGCCTCCTTGTTTATAAAAAACAAAATAAATTCTTTCCTGACCAGTTGACTCTAAGTCACCTTAGTCATTAAAAAAACTTAGATACATTTATATACCTCTATCCCTTAATATGCTAAGAAGCAATAGGTTACAGGTGTATTGGGGCAAATAGGCCCACATTCAGGGCCAGATGACCACCCTTCTTCCCAAATACTACTGTCATCTAAACTCAATGCAGTAACACCTTTAATTCACATGACTATCCGTTCAAGTAGGCAAGCACTACAGTTAGTTTCCCTATCAACACTTTCAGCCTTCCTTCTTGAAATCCAGATCCCAAAGGTTAGTATGCTTAGCATATATTATATACAGAAATTCTGGTGAGATTCCTCCTTACAAAAGCAGCTGAGAATGCTCCAGTATCAGCAAAAACTGTTTCCCTGCCTCATCTCTATTCCAATGACAGACTGACACAGGCTTCAGACTCCTTTGCCTCTACTACCAGAAATTACTTTCTCTTCACTTCTCAAGCCTGACTGAATTTTAAACCCTTTCCTATGAGCTTCTTCTCACATACAGACTTTGCTCATCATACATAACAAGGATCTAATCAATTCTCCATTCAAAATATTTTCCACTTTGCACATGCATCTCCTTTCCCTCTGCAGTAATTTAGTTCTGGGATTTCCAGCCTGTGGTCCACATAATACTTTCAAAGGCTGTATGATAACTGAGAAGCTAATGAGAAAAGCGTATCAGTTGTCCATAGTCCTGAGTGGTGCCTGATGTGCACTGTAGAGTATTTAGTTGCCTGGCTATCAAAATTCAGATCCAGTTTAGTTCCTGCATATAAGCACTGTTCCTGATTTTAGTGTGACTACTCCATGTAACAACAGGAAACAGAACTCTGAATTTATCAACTAATACTCAGCTGTCAGTCAATTAAGAAACATTTATGAAAGTACAGAAGTTACTGCTGTATTCTGCATATTCTGGACACAATTTTTTTCCCCAATCCACTTGGACATGCTTCTCTGCATTTTCAGTTGACCCAGATTCAAACTTCTCTTATGCCAGGTAGTTCATCAGTGCTTCCATATCTTGCTGTTCTCTCCTCTTTTACTTTCTTTTCAGGAAGAGAAGTCCTCCTAATAAAGGTCAGCATTTTAATCTCTGGCAGGAGACTTACTTAAAATGAAGGTACTGTTATGGTGGAACATATTAATGACATCTGCAACAATAAGTATTTTATGATGTCTAGATCAGTGGTCCATAAATGGGAGTGCACGTTCCCCAGGGAGGGACACAAGACAATCCATAAGGCTACAGAGCGAAAATATTTTTTCACCATTAATAAATACAGCTAAGTAATTGTTTTAAATAGTGTTCCTTTAATCTCTAACTCACCCTGTTTTAATTTCTTGTTTTTATGTAAGTTTTATAATGTATGTAGCAATCCATGAATATAACTTCTAAAAAATATATATTGGGGTGCATGCTTAAAATGGTTTTTCTGATAGGGAAGTGTAATCAAAGATATTTTAGAGTCATGGGTCTAGCTAGTAACTGAAGAGGTGGTTGAAACCACCAGCTGTTACCAAGTCAGAAACATTATATATATTTTGTATTTCCCACTTTCAAAAGGAATTTTAATTGTTGGTGATTTGAACCTTTTTTTCCTGCCTTGAGATATAGGAAGTCTCCATAAAGAACACTGTTCTTTACTATTATGGTGCTTCTAACACTTCTGTCATGTCATCTATATGGTGCTCTCTAAGTAGCAAAAAAAGTAGATAAGCTCTCAGCCTATGAGGTTGATCACTGGCTGACAGTAAAGATATTTTCACCTTCATGAAATAAAGTTCCACAGGTAAAGATGGTGGAAGCCTCCTCATTTATTCCTTGGTTTTTAAACTAGGTTAAAACTAGCATTTCACCAATGGGACAACTATAATTAATCTTCCTGTGGGGCAGAGAATGGATGGGTTAGATAAATTCCTTCCAGCCTTATTTTTCAATACTCTGAAGGTGTGGCAATTTTGGTGAAGTTTAATTTTTTAAGACACATACTATGCCTTACGGAGGCAGATGGAAAACTGGAAGGTTGAATCAAAAATGAGAATTAGGACATCAGGTAACCAAACACCAAATCAGATAGGTCAGTGTGCCTACTGTACTACAGGCAGTCTGTGTGATGGTTAGAATTCTGTAAATTAAACTCACCATTCAGAGGGACAGTTCAGGGACTATGCCTTTCTCCTCCATTCCCCTTACTCCAGTTAGTATTTTGCAATCCATTTCTCCCCGTACTGGAGGTTTCTCAGGTCCCAGTCATGAGTTTCTTCTTCTGCTGCTGCTGCTGCTGCCACCTACCAGTTTTATTATTCTGTTGCAGCAGAAGGGCATATAGAAGAAGTTCGTGTTCAGCATGCATATAATCATCATCCTTTGTCTAAGATGTCATGGCCTATTCAAGTTCTACAACATCTCCCCATACACTAGGCAAAGCACTGGGCACAACCAAGATCAATACAAGGCTTTGAAAGCCATTTCATAAAGAGGAAGGAGCATGATCTGTAAAACCACATTTCAAGAAACATTAAATACAAAAACAATCATTTTTGTAGAATGCAGTACATTTTTATCAACTCTCCCCACCAAAGATCAATTGCAGACACTGCAAAGAACTAGTACTGTATTTCTTTCAAGACAGCCTTTACTTGTATGTATCTAAAATCAGGTTAGAGATGCAAAACCATGATCCAACATGAATTCATTAATAAGTTTGAGGAAAAGAAATTCTTATTTTTAGACATTATTACAAACCCCAAAAAGACACCCAACCACATGCCTGAAAGTGTTACACCCGTGTCCTATAGCAGCTGATGCACAAAAATATACACAAATAAAGGAATAGGCCTGCCCAGTGCTGAGACGCAAGAAGTGGGTGTGTCTGAAAGGAAAAAGCATTGGAAACATAAGTATAACAGGTTTGTAAAATTATCTTGCAAGTAAAATTAAAGACACAAATTATACACTCAATTATACCAGTGAAATTGGATATCACTCCACTGACTTTCACAGAGTGATTCCAGGTTTATCTCAGTGTAATTGAGAGCAAAATTTGGCTCTAAAATTATTTCCTCCCACCTTAATTTGAAGCTGCAGTTTATGGTATTGCTGATAAATTTGCTGTGTATCAGGAAAATATAAATTGAAACTACGAAAAGTAGACTATTTTATTATGGTATAGAGGAGTTACTAGCATACACAGAAAAATAATCTGAAACAAGTGCTAATTCTTTACAGATGTCATGGGAAATAGAAAACTGCATTTGGAAACTTGGAAGCCTGTTTGTAGGCTCATATTCTTCAACTTGGAATGGTATTCCAATTGTCTGATATTTATATCTGAGTAAAATACAAGATTCTCCTCCTTAAAAGAAGTAAAAGAATATTAAGTACCCAGCACTTTCACACAGTTTGAGATTAAGGGAGTTGAGTTACCAGAGAAGGATAAAATGTACAAGTGCTTTGATACAGCAGTAAGGAAAACATAAAATATGTCCCCCATCCTCCACAAACAGAAATAATCAGCCCAACACTCTTTTTCTTCAGCACATGTATTCTCCCATCTGCCCTCTTTACAGGATCTTGCTCTATTGAATATTAATAGATTTAACGTTCTTAGCACTAGTTTTTTCATACCTAACAACTCCTAATTGATGCAGTTATATTTTATGTTCATTTGGCAAATGGAAAGCAACATACCTTTCAAAAATCTACGCTAAAATAGTACAATTGAAGGCAAACTACCTGGAACTGACAAAGAAGTGGAATGAATGTATTACAAAGCTATTCCTCACACAGTCGCATGAGGGGACTCACTTCTGTCTTACCTGAGTAAAGCAAAGGACAATGACAGTTTTTTTAAAGGTCAACAAGCATAAGGAGGGGAACTGAGGAAGAAAAGTAGGATTTTCTCTAAACATCACGGTTAAAGCAATCATTCAACAAGTTTCACCAAAATGAACTGATGGGAAGAAAGGAAGGCAGACAAGTTAGCAAATTTATCAAGATTACAGTAAGAGCAGAAAAGTCTCAATTTACCTGACAACAGGTCGGTTTTGGATGTCACCAAACTGCTGCGTTTACCATTTTACCCGCTTGCATTACTGGGGGGAAAAGTTTAGGAAGGAACATTCTCAAGGATTTTTCATAAGTTCTCACTCTTGCCATCGGAAAGGGGAGAAGGGGTTTTCTCTGGATTGTTTGACTTTTTTGGCTCCTGAAAAGTTTTGCAAAGAACAGTAACAAAGTGTGAACTGTTAGAACACGTTTCTGTAAAAAAAGGTAGAATAAGTCACACAAAATACAGGAACAACAAATCCCACCCAAAATCCACACACCTAATTTGTGTCATTGTTTTAAATGAATAAACAAAACAAAAACTTTTCAACTCAAATTATAAACATGAGAGGCCTGGAGACTTCTAACAGCAGGCCAAGATCCACCATCAGAATGCTCCAAAAGTCACCCTCATCTGTTAAGAAAGGTTTAAAGAAATAAAACAAAGGAAAAGGCAGCAAACACCTGGTTATAAATCCTGCAGTGTACAGCTTAAAACAATTCCTAGAACAGTGAAAAAAATTAAAAATTAAAAAAGACAGTAGCAACAGAAGTTACCTGTCCGAGCACCTACTATTCCATAGAGAGAACAGGAGTGGGTCGTGTGTCTCACACCAGCCATAAAGCCCATAAACCTTCTCAAAAAGAGTGAGCCATGAGAAAGATACTGTACATTTGATCTGCTTTCAAAGTCTCTCTAAGCCCTTGTGGTCCCTTATGTATTTAACTGACAGATTTTTGCAATAAGGGGAGAAAATATTTAGCAAAAGTCACTGGTTTCATTTGTTGGATTTTGTAGTCCAGTACAGCATCTGAAGAAGTATCTCCTTTGCGCCTGACATACACAGATGTTCCAGAGATTATTTCCTGAGTAAGTATACCACGTCACAGATAGCACACGAAGTGGAGAAATTGCTTCAAGAGTGACCATCAGCTCAGAATGAAAACATTAACAGTCAATATAAGCATCAAGTATTGACATTGTTTTACAGATGAGGTGTTGTAACATTACAAGAAAAGATTTGATAAAACACATTAAAGCATTGAATACAAGACTTAAGATACAATCCATACATTGGCATTAATTATAAAGCAAGACATTAATTATAAATACAGTAAATTGAACAGAAGGAAATCTCCAGTGTTATAAAGAACAAAATTTCATCACAGGTAGATTAAGAAACTTATTCTTGCAAACAAGAGTTTCTAGCTGGCTCTTTCAAAGATTAAAATACACAGAAATAGTTGTATCACCATCAGCTGTATTGGCACTATTGTAACCACCGTGTTGATCATTTTTTCAGCACCTGCTTCCAAATCCACATACGGAGATAGTGTTAGTGCAACTCTGTGAAAGTTTAGCATGTGATTTTCAGCAATGGAACTGAAGAAGATAAATCGTATAAAGCTGACATCTGTAAAGTTCACCGTCAATGGGAAACACTGCCTGGTTACCATGGGCTAGATTTGTTGGTGTTTTTTTCCTTTATGTAAGAACAAGACACCCCTCTTGCATCCCCTGGCAGTTCTATGCATTTCACTATTTCAGAAGCAATGGGTAAGTAGGGAGTAAATACATGAGACAAGTGTGTCCATTTGTACCTATGAACCCTCAAGAAAGGTATAAGTGCAGCATCAACACCCAGTGTCCAAACAAATGTACAGGATGTTTCAAAGCCTGTCTCCCTCTGTGACCACTATGCATAGACTTATATCCAAACTAGCAATGAAAGCACCAACCAGAGGTCTTTCAAAAAATCTTATGTTTACTTCATAAATTTTACAACTGTGAGGTGTAACCTGGACATTCTAAAAAGGTGATAGAAATGTAAGGTTCTTGTGAGCCACAAAGCATTAAGGAGACTCAAAAAATGCAATCCAGAACCTTCAGTTACCAGCTGTTTTCTCTAAAAGATGTTTCCTATGATAGAAACACAGAGGTTGCATTATACCAACTAGCACATGTTTACTCCCTGATGTAATTCCACATGTGCTCAGTGTATGACCCAGTTAGAAAGGGAAGGATTGACCCTATCAGCCCCTAGAGGAGTGCAGGCACCTACCAGTAAAGAGACAAAAAAAAAAAAACCACCCCCACCCGAAATTCCCCTTAGACAAACAAGCAAAGGAAGAAGTTTCTGGAAGAGACAGTTTCCTGCTCAGTGACTAGAGCTCAGTGACTAGAGAACTAGATTTCTTTCATGTTCTGTGGTTCTGCATCTCTTCATGGAAGTTGAAGACCTTTATATTCTTGATGTATAACCTGTGCACTTGAAGGCTCGGGAAGGATTTGAAAATACCTTTACTGCTGAAGATCCTTTTTTTGCTGGACCAGCTGGTCCACTCTCCTGCTTAACATCAACAGTCAACCTTTCACTTGATTTTAATAATAATATTTAATTCTACAAAAAAAAAAGCCATTTTATTACATTCCTTTTAAAATAAAAAAACAAAACTGTACAAAGAAGCATGATCAAACCTCCATAAAGCAGGTTAATACTGTTCTGTTTATTGCCTCTTGAAGACTCTCTGCATAGTGTCCGTGAGTTGTGTTTAAGGTCCAAGTGAAGATAAAACAGCAGAGCAGCAGAGAGGTGAGGAAGGGCCACAGAGGTGGGCAGTGCAGAACCTCAGAGGGTACATGGGACATGCTCCATTAAAGTATCCAGAAAACAGCAGCATTGCACACACACAACCCCCCTCCGAACAAAACCTATTTTCACAAGATTATTTTTCGATTGTAAACGTTTTACTTTATGTTTTTAAAAAAGAGGCTTATCTTTATATATATATATCTATAGTTCCAGGGTTTTATGAACCCAGAGAATAAGAGGGGAATGAAACGGGAGAAGGAGGAGGAAAAGGAGGAGGAAGACAGGGACTGAAAAATGGGCTCAGTATCTGTTTTGGCTATTTGTTTTCCAAACCAGCTCAAGGCTAATGAGAAAATGCACAGCCAGAAGGATTAAGGAAAATCAGGAAGCCTGGAAAAAAATTAGGAGCTAAACAGCCAAAACCCCAAAAGAAATCAAGCCAAACAAATGCACGCGCACACAAACACACACAAGTGTGTGCACTCACACCACACACATGTAAGGGTCCAGAATCAATCTGTTGATTGTTTGTGGACCTAGGTTATATACTTTTTTCTTTTCTTTTTTTTTTTTTTTAAATTCTGGCTGAGCTCTCTTCTTCTTTTTTTTTTTTTTTAAATCTGTCACATTTTTTTCCCAAAGCTACAAACTGAGTATTTCTCCCCAGTTATACTCTTTGGATTTCTGCTAACATCAGCTTTTATGTTCAGTGGGGAAAAAGTAAGCCTGGTAAGTATTGTACGAACTGCTTTATTCTAAAGTTCCTCTGGACTACTAATCACTTTTAACCAGCTCTTCCCTCCTCCACACCTTAACACATTCCTCCCTCCGAAAAAAAGTGAAAAATAAAAACAAACGAACAAACCCCCCAACAATGTACAGGCTATATCTCAGTGTTTTCTTAACAAACAGTCTGCGGTGTTTTCACTTTGGCCACTGTTAAAGATGCAGGCATAGAGAAGGGAGTGTTGGACTAGCATGTATTAAAGAAAAAGGAACATTAACATTGCAGATCTCTCTCAGAAAGACTAAAACACTAACAAATACAAGTCGATGCACGTTTGCTTTAAACTAGTGTAAATTCATTTTCACATTGGGTTAAACATCATTTTGTATACCAAACATTACAGTGCTGTTTATCTCCTCCAACCATGCAAAAAAATAGTTTAAACGTGCCATTTCTGCCCACAAATAGAATATGACTAATTCTCCTAGATACCTTCCAAAATCAGGATTTGAAATGAGAAAAACAAAGTACTAATATCCTCCTTCAAAAGCTTTATAAAGAAATTTAGACACAAAGCTGCCACTTAATACCAAGATGGTACAAGTTACAGATTTTTACAGAAAATTCTTGTTAAGTCAACTGACACTTCTCTCAGCCTCATCATTTGAAAGGCCGTATCCTGCAAGGTCAGAAAGTGATGACTTTTTTAAAAGGATCCTGAACTTACAGCTCCCACCTAAAAGAGTAGGAACAGTAGGTGTCCAGGAATTTTGAAATACTTGGTATTTAACACCTTCAACTCACATAAAGAATTTGAGGCACTCAGCAATTTACAGGATCAAGCCTTACAGAGGTAGAAGAGACTTAACTGGTGCAGTAATTCACAGAAGTTTCTAGAGAGCTGCCAGACAACTTTCTGAAATCTTCAAGTGTGAATCATGCTTCAATGCCTGCCTGTGAAGACACATGAACTGTAATATATCTTGGGACCAAAGCAGCATCCAAATAAAACTGCTGCCTGGTTATGAACTGAACATCTTTATTGTAAAGCTGTTGCTGAAGAATGAAGACAATTTAATGTTCTGCAAAAAAGCAGGGACAGCAATCACAGCACGTGTGCCTTTTACTCTTGCTCTCTTGACTGACACACCCACCCCCTTTCCTCATTTCCTCTGAGCGTCTCTGATAAACAGCATTGCAAGTTGGCTTAAAAAAAAAAATTTACAAGAGAGAGTTCTGTTGGTCATCTATTTACACGTGGCATCACTCCACCAGGAGTTTAATCTCATTGGCTAATAGCTGGTTCATGTTGAAAAGAGCCCCCGGGAGCTTGGTGAGCAACTCTCTCTCCGTGGTCTCAGGGTCGCTGTCGACAGAGCTGGAGCTAGCACTCATATTGTCGACAGCGGCACTAGCTGGAGGGCCCAGCTCTGGCTCGCTAGTCTCGCTTGCCGTGGACACCACGGAGAGCAAGGACATGCGCCGCGTCAAGCGGCCGGGGGTGAGCAGAGAAGCGGCATAGTCCGCTATGATACCAGCTACATCTAAATTACAAGCCTTGTCAAAGGCAATGAAACCTACATTTGCATTGGCCTCGCAGACGTAGAATGAACCGTCGTCCTTCATCAGCAGGTCAATGCCGCACACATCCATCCCCAGGATGTTTGACACTTGGACTGCCAACTGCTTGCCTTGTTCACTCAGTGAGCACATCATTCCTACACCACCTGGAAAAAGCGAAAAAAACTTGCTGTCTGTACTCTGGTCATGGGTGACTGACATCCTTCTCAACTGGTCAGCATTTTTCTGTTGGGAAGCACTAAAGTGAGCCTGCAAGCAGACTGCCGATGACTCAGAAATCAACCTCCTTTTCCACAGTGACTACTAATGAACTTGAAGCCACAGGACGATTTCAAAATATTCTGACCTGCCTTTGGCAGGTCAAGATTATGACTTGTTTAAAAGGCAGCTAAGTGATGACTTTTCAGTCCAGAAAAAGTATCACCCATTTTTATGATCCCAGGATATTAAAAAAAATGAACTAATAAATCACCCTTGTTCTTCCTAAGGTAGAGGCTTTCCCTGCACAGTTGTAAGTTGTCACGAGCTCTTAATAAGACTACAGTTCTAACAAATATAATTGGGGGGTGGGGGTTAAGATATCATCTGCTCATAGTGTCCCCTCTCAACTTCTTATCACAGGTTATTGCCTTTAAAGCAATAATTAGGGATCATTTGTGTCTGAACCTTAGCTGGTCCAGTTAACAAAGCCCATCACCTAAGTATTAACCGACTCAGACCTCATCTATCACAATACTTAAGTTTAAAAAATACCCAAACAATAACAAACAGAAAAAATATTTAGCAGAGAAATCTTTCAGGCTACATTTCCGCAGCATCAAGTAGTAACTAAAACCTCTCAGGCATTTTGACTGACCAAAACTGTACTACACGTGAACATATTTTATCCCATCCCTGTTCAGGTTCAGTACAGTTCAAGTCAGGTAACCTCAACCCTCCTTCCTCCTTTTACCCGCATAAACCCTGTGTCCAACATCCAAAGCTATGCAGTCTCAGTTCTGAGTATGCAACAATCAATGCAGTAACCTCCTCTTCCTTCCACACACGGTCTTTGGGGGGAAGAGGTTGCAGGGGGGAAGACTTAAGGCAGCACAGAAGATGCACAATGCAATACAACTGTTTATTGCCTTCAACAGTTTCCTCTCTTAACATTCTGTTTTACCCTCTTGCCAACTGTCCCCTCTACCTCCCTTAAGTATCCCTTTTTTTCTTTCTTCTTTTTCTGTTCCTCTCAACAGGATGGAAGAAATAACATGGCATTAGCATGAAACTGCCACTACCAGATCAGTTGCTCCATTTGTGTTCTAGAACTTTCCCCTGCTTTTCATCCATCCTGTCCATCTAACACTGTGGGCAGAGAATGTCTCTCCTTCTGTGTCTGCTCAACATGCATCTTACTTAATCCCTACTCTTGTGTTCCCTCTGTAAGCCCCCGGCAGTAAACACAATTAATACAAAATAAAACCTGCAGCTTATTTCAGTTGGCTTTGTGATTTTTCGGCTGGATTGAAAAATTCTGACCAAAACCATGAGCAATGTTTTTCCTACCAAGTGAGCAGTTACTCTGCATCCTCCCATCTGTTGAGCAGCGGAGCATGGTGCCCACCACACGGCCTCCTACTACGATGACACGTACGTCCTTGCCGTGGGACTCTTTAACGTATTTTTGAAATAAGTAAGGGGCATCATGACGGATCAAATGGCTTAGGTCTGCCAAATGGTGCTTGTCTCGTGCCAGGAACACAGCTTTACCTGTATGGAGAGAAAGAACATTTGAAGACTGAAAACAGCTACCCATTTGAGCTGCATCAATGATTCAGCACATGAAAGTAAAACCTCTGACCAGCATGCTGCCTGTTCTCACAGGCACCATCCGTATACCCATATTCCCATTTACAAATTCCACCGTGGACAACTGTGTTCCACTGATGCAGTGCTTTTAAGTGTTCAAGTGCTGCTGATAGAGCTGAGGAGACATATGAGGAGTTAAAAAAAAAAAAAAGAAAAGAAAAAAATTTTAGATAAAGGAGGTGGTCTTGCAATTTCAACTCCTTTTGGTACAAGTCCTTAAGGAGAGGAAAAAAGGGAAGAAACACTTAAAGAAAAGCAGACATTTAATTAATAACAATGTTATTCATCCAAGAGGACTGGACCCACAACCTACAGCTTTGACACACAGGAACCAACGACATGAAACTGTTAAACACTGGGCAACTAAAAACTCTGAAGTCACAACGGTGCCACTGCAGAACCAACCACTTCCCTGTTGAATGCTGCTCTTCCCATTACCTACAAGGGTTCACAGCTCCAGAATGAGGTTTTGCAGTGAAACAACTACATTCAGAGGAGAATACTAGACTCTACAGTATCCAAGATAATTCAGCAGATTCCACAAGACATGAAATGAATGGAATATACTACACTTAAAAGAAAAAAAACAAAACTCTTCAGAAATCATTAGCTTTTCTGCAAGTAACACCTCTAGGACTTGGATTTTTTAACCTAAAACATGCCATTTCGTTCCCCTTCACTTCTAGAGCACACCAAAGACTTCTTCTTTCCCAGTGTTACCAAGTCACTCCTGAAACAGACTCGACCACTTTCCATCTCATTTCTAGTCTTAAAAGACTGCATTCCTTTCCACCTTTAGCTACATTTCCCAACTCCTTTTACCTTCCTAAGCGCTCTTTCTATGTCATATTAGACTGACGTTTTGCAGTAGGGTTGTACATTTTTTCTTGTAACAGAACTGTCATTCAAATTATGCTACAATGTTAATAGAGCACAAAAATAAACTGATAAACTGTCTATCTTAAATAAGGAGACAGAATGCAGTGGTAGCCCAAGTAGAAGAAATAACATGTAAAGAATTCCATCAAGTGCTCCAAAGCCCAACTGGGGCAGCCTCTTTAGTCAGGATTTAAGGTCTCTATAACACAGAACACTGCTTGAGGAACACAGAATTTCTCATTACAAAAAAATGAGAATGTAAGCTTAAAAATCATGACAAGACAGCAACAACCTCCATATGCTTTCTCTTCCTCCTTTCTCCTATTCCAGACTTTACCTCTCCTACGGGCACTTAACAATCCTACTGCATTCTTGAAATTGAATAGTAAGAATGATGTTATGGAGGGAAACTACGTAGTTCTTGGGAATTACGCAGCAACACAGTATCTTGGCAAAAATAAGATTGGCACATTTGCTGCAGCAACAAATTACACAAAAAGCATGCCTAAAATGACTTTTATTCATCTGCCAGTACCCATGACCATGTTTGGCTGTTTATTTTAAATGCCATTTTTAAATGGCTGTTCTTCAATTAATTTGAAAAAGTTTCCCCAACCCTCTTAATGTGAAGGGATATGTACTCTGCATAAATTTACATTAGAATGCCTGGAATTTAAAGTGCTCTAAAAGCTAAACTTGTAAACAGATTTACATGTATCCTGGTGAGAAAAGGGAGAAGGAGGTCAATAGCTGTAACTACTATTATTTAACAGATCTTAACTAGAGGCAATGTCAAGTCAAACTCATTGTCTCAGATACTCCACAGTTGTCAAATTCAGCTTGCTGCAAAACCAAACTCCAACTTGGCTTTATAGCTCCACATGCACTTTAAAGCCACATAAAGTGGTGTTACTGCCAACGGAAGCAGGTCGGATCTTCCTCAGCCCCAGCTTTTTGCTCTCACTCTTTCATTACATCAAGACAAGCATTTGTGCAAGTAAGTGCTAAGTCATGTAAGGAATTAATCTAAGTAAAAATAACCCATCTAGATTCATCCAGCATTAGTTCCTGAATCCATTTACTACATGGCTACAGAAGTACTCAAGCCAGCAGGAGGTGCACTGGAGTAGCGTAGAGTGGCAGCAAACTGACTGACAGTAAGAAAGGAAGAAATTGTGTCTTTTAGTTATGATTTTGCCTAAAGCAATTGCTGGTTTATGTGCTCAAACTTCATTTTTAGTCTCTCTATACTTCTAGTATTTTTAAAATTGGTTTTAAAGTATATTAAGAACTGAGCAACCTCCTGTGTAAAAAACCTCTGAAATTGATTTACACCTGGTTTCCTTTAGCAGATCGCTATCTAACACTAAATTAAGTTGATGTGTTGTTTCATATTCAACACTTAAACCAAAAGACTAACAACAGAAAAAAATTAATCTGAACCTGCTATAATATCACTGGCACTGTCAGAGGTATTTTTCTGAAAAACAGAGATCCAGTTTGACAAACAATATGTAAGATTTTATTTATATCAGAATCCTAATTATAGACAAAGTCAAGTAGAAAAAGTCACTGAGTGAACTGAGATTTCATTTCTTATGCCTATTTAAAAGCATCCCTAAAATCCATGTGGACTTCTATTTCCCTAAGGCCCAACCTTCCATTACTCCAGTTCAAAGCTTTCCTCACAGAAGTCACCAATGCACCATAATTTTGAACCCCTTTCCCCCCACACTACTGCAAGACGAGGCTCTACTAAAACTGTTTCCCAGTGTTGCAGTCTATTCAACATTCAGAAGTTGAACCAGGACAGAATTTAGATGTACTGGAAAGAAGTCCAGCACCTAATAGAAGATCTTCTTAGCTATCATTCCTTGATGAGACCAAATCTTAGAGTGCTGCTCAGAATATTCCTTGGCCTCACCCCTGACCTCACACCCACCTCGATGACCCCGCGTGTTCTTCACCACCATAGGGAACTCCAGCACTTCCGCCTCATCAATCATTTTGGAAAAATTCTCATGACCACCTGGCAAAAAGAAAACCAACAACATTATGTGCCACCAGTCTGGTGTGGCCTAATTGGGGATGTAATTGGCATATCTTTCTCCCACCCTTACAGCTTAGATAATGCATTAAAAACTATCAGTTAAGAGAAACCTGGTCATAAAGCATGGTCAGACTTTGAAGGTATTTGTGATCTGTGGGATATCAACTCCTTCTTCCTTTGAAATTGAAGATACAAGCTGGCAAAGGCCTCTTGATCACAATTCCAAAAGGCTCAATCTAATTTTCCAAATCTGAATGCCCCAACTCTATCACCTTGTTCAAGTTTACCCCTTTAACTCCCATCTTCTCAAGTGTCTAAAAGGAAAATAGCAGAGATATAACACTCACTAGTAACAGTTCCATCCAAACCACTAACCAGGAAAGCAACACGGAATACAATGACAAGACATAATCCAGAGAGCAGCAACAACCAATACTTTGTCACTCCACCTCGCCCCTTTCCAAGGCTCAAGTGTCCTGTATCTCATTCTCCCTATATCCTAATGTAGTACTTAAACCTTTTAATCTCACTGCATCTGTAAGGACCTTAGAGAGTAGCTTTTAATGGTCATTCACACCATTATGGTTGATACTTCAAGGTTCTTTGAGTTCAATTCATAGAAGGCTGACCAAGTACAAGAAATACAGAAGACAAAGTCAGCAGACAAAGGGATGAGCCCCCTCTAACAGCATGTGCAGTAAAGCGCAGAAGTCAAGCCAAGACACTGGTCACAAAGCCAGCAGCAGCCATCACTACCCTGCCATGGATTTGAATGCATGCCATGGAATAACATGTCATTCAGCACATCCTGCTTTACTTGGCAAAGCCAGTTCTCACTGATAACTTGATATTTGCAGTTTAAAAAAAAATAGAAAAAGCAAAAAAAAAGTCATGCTTCTGTCAAATTCCAGAGGCAGGCATTAAAAGTAGTGGCAGAGAGTTATGAACAAATAGATATGTTCTGCAATTATCTCATCATTCATGGTCTTCCCTTCCCCCCAAAAATTAAAAACTCATTCCTTTCTCAATGAGTTAGAGCAACGACATGCATAAAGAAAGGGTGTGTTTCTTCTCTGATGTGTTTTCACAGTAAGTGATGGAAATAGTAATTCACAGTAATCAATAGAAAGCCATGGGTTTTGTTTGTCAAGTTTGTTTCTGTTTTTGCCAAGTTCCCATTACAAAAGCCCATTGGTCCAACAACACAAAGGGGAGGAAAGCACTGGCAATTCTTAAGAAGGCAAGGAAGGTTGAGAGGTATCTTCAGTTCTTTAATAGATTGTAATTAAGAGCTTCATGGTAGCTCAGACAAATGGTTCCTCTAATCTAGCACTCTGTCAGGAACCACAGACTCCAGAGGCAGGCACAAGAAACAATAATTAGCTGTTATGATGGGAAACAAACCCCAAACAACTGTACTTGTACAAGGGCTTGTACTTTCTTTGCCCTTGGACAAAAACTAATGTATTTGGAGATACTTTTATTCATACAGAAGTTTAATCCAATCTACTTTCAGGTTTTAACAAAGGCTAGATCTTTTTAGTATCTTAGGACAAGTTCTTGCCTGTTGTTTCTGGCAATTGGAAAAGAGTTAAAAATGTTTTAGCAGTAACAGCCAAAGTTAGTTGCTTGGAAAGTTGAGGTACAGTTAAAGTACTCTTCTCAAAGCATTACCAGCTAATAAACAAAGCCAAGACCAGAACCTGAGTGCTGCGACTCTGATTTCCTCTCCTGGTTACTGAGCACTTAGCTGTGGAACTAGCCTTATGCTACCTAATTTCTATGGATTTCCAAAACTTGACTTACATCCTTAGCACTGCAAAAACGTAAACAGTGGTAGGCAACTATGCTATCCTTTTGATCCAAAAGTCTTACCATACGAAAAAGTGTCTGGAAGAGGCACACCATGACCGGCAAGTTCTTGAAATGTCCAGAACTTGTTGACACAGTTGAGGATGGCTTGGGGACGATTCATCAATCGACAGCCCATCTTCTCTAGGTGGCGAAGGACTGTGATATCGCTGTCACTCTGGACCCAAGGTGTTGGCACACGCACGACCACCACTTGTGGGTAAGCAGTAATGAGCTCCCCTTTCACCCGGAGACCTAAAGATGGAAGAGAAAAACATCCCACTTTTTTACCATCCCATCAGCAAAAGGTAAACAGGCAAAGAAATATTGTACTATCTGTGATCACAGCTGATACTAGACTTCAACAGTAAGTGTCGAAACAGCACAACTCTCCCTACCATGCATCTTGTCAGTTGTGCTGTTTCATACATGTCACTCTTAACCCACTTAAAGGTCGGACTAAGCAAAACCAAGACTTTATTTAGGGCACACAATCTTGGGCTTCTTTCCAGGGTGAAGCACATTTTATCTAGATTGACACACCATCCTTTCTCTGGGTGTTAGCTGCACATTACATTCACATGAGCTGTATCAACAGCCCAGGAGGTTCCTGCCTCCCACTGCTGCTTCTTGCCTACATGATGCAGTTCATACCTTTCCCAGTCCCAGCTGTACTGATCCCTCTGTTTGTGGTATCACGTTACACAACATACTGCCAAAGTAACAGAGATTAGATACGACCCTTAAAAAAACACAAAAAGCCAGCAGTATTTTTAACACAGGTAATTTCAACAATGTGTTTTATAAGTATTCAAAATAACTATCAGCTAACAGGGAAGCACCCTGTGACATAAAGGCAGGAACTAGAATGAAAGCCAGCTTTGCCACCAAGACCAGTGTATTACTTAATCACGACCTATAGTTTTATAGACTAATTCTCTGAAAAAGAAACACTGAAAGACAGGCTGCAGGAATAGGAATATGACAGGATTGGACGGGAGGTATCAAGCTCAATGAAGATAGTCTGGCATCTGAGGATGGGAAAAGACAAATAGGATTTGATATTCACATTACTTGCTTTATGTTCAAAGTAAAACTTCGTGACTTCAGCATCAAATACAGAGTTCACACTGTAGTCAGCACTTTAAGGGTTAAAAAAGAGAAAGAAGGTGGGCTGAGAAATCACAGTGCATCTGCATTTCTGTGCCTACCAAAGGCCAGCTGGAACTACTGAGATCTAGCCAAAATTAATTGATTAACCTGATTACTCTATTCCAGAGATGTTACTTTACAAATACAGACTTGTATGTATTCAACCCAAAGACACAGATTGCCAAGGAATATATTTCATTCGAAGGTGCATTTGAATCGTGAGAGATGGCAGGGGGAAGGAAGGGAGGGTGTCCCCCTCTCTCTACTTCCCCTTTTCTTTTCTTCTCCCAGCCAGGATGTATTTAGAGCTTGCCTTAAATACAATGAAGCAACCACCTAACTCCCAAAAAGGAAGTAGATATATGCTGCCCAGTCCTCGGGAGGACACAGAACCACACTCTGGAAAGGCCAAAACAGAGCCACATCCAATTCAAATCTCTTTTTCCAATCCCCACAGCCATAATTGCACAGAGATGAGCAAACATAAGCAGACGGTGCTCTGGCTGCTCACCTCATTAGCACCAAGCACTGCCGCATTGCAGCTGACATGACTCGCGTGTTTAAGCAAGCAGGCTTCAGACACACACCCCTCCCATTTCATAGAGGCATCTCAAGCAAGAGTAAAAACAAGATACTGCTACAAACCTAAGCAGACTGTGAACATCACAAAATGGACTACCATCTCTTTTAGCCAGAAAAGGAGTACAGATTCAGCAAGCAAAAGATTTTTTACTTATTAGTCAGATTCCACCTTACACATGTATTTTCCTGTTTAGGTGCATGCCCAATTACACCCACTTTTCGCACACGATATCGCATGCATGTCCTGATCCACATGCAAGCTGTGCAACAATCATTTCAAAAAGGAGTGCATATTCTACATGGCCCCAAAACTGCCACCGTCTCTGTGTTGTGAACCAAAACGACATAATTTTCCAATTCATAATCTCTCAGTCTATTTTGTTGTTTCGCTTTAAAGTCACGCCACATGCTGAAGTTTTGCACCATGGAGTCTGAAACAGAAAAACAGCAGTTTGAGGAGATGTGTATGCCTCACCTGGAATTCTCCTGAATACCTGTATGAGACTTGACTATCAAACTGGTGTAAATTTAACCAGGCCACCATCCCCCCTAGAGTAACTTTGGAAGTACAACGATATTATCAACAGAACAACCTGAGCTTTTGTTTCAGATTCAGTCATATTCTGTGGTATAGATACTGTTGTATGCAGAACACCACCAAAAAATTCTCTCCCCTTATACAAGGCAGTTTACAAACAAAAAGAAGAGCTACTCAATGAAATGTATAATTTGAATCAGTACTACTGACATGCGCCACAAAAATTAGCTGCAGTTTCCCAGCAACACAGTGCTGCAAACAGAACCAGCTTTATCACAGTAAAAAGGAGAGCCAGATTCTGCCATTTTGGAATGAGTATGCATTCAGCATTCCACGTGAGACCCATCAGTTAACAATCAGGTTAATGGTCATTAATGCCTACTGGGCTGAGAATATAATGTTTGTTCACTATGATGTGCTGAAAACAGTAACACAGACGATATTAATGCATACAGTGAATTTATTTTCCAAAGAAACAATTCATGAATGAAAAGAGAAATAAAGGAAAAAAAAGACACGTTACAGAGATGTTACTTAGAGAGTGGTTAAGAAGTAATCAAGGTTTCTTTGAAAATCATAGTGCCCATAGTTGAAAGGGACCCTCGAGGATTGATATGTTCAACTCCTAGTGCTGCACAGGCCAGCCCTAAGTATCACACCGTGTGCCTGAGAGTGTTGTCCAAATGCTTCTTGAACTCTGGCAGGCTTGGTGCTGTGACCACCTTCCCTGGGGATTCTGTTCCAGTGCCCAACCACCCTCTGGGTGAAGAACCTTTTCCTAATATCCAACCTAAACCTCCCCTGACACAGTTTCATTCCCTTGGGTCCTGTCACTGGTCAACAGAGAGAAGAGGTTGGTGTCTGCCCCTCCACTTCCTCTCATGAGGAAGTTGCAACTGCAATGACCCCTCAGTCTCCTCTTCTCCAGGCTGAACAGACCAAGTGGTGCCCAAATCTGCACACAGTTGAGATGAACTCTCTTTTCTCTGCAATAATAGTACCATCCTGGTTCCAAAATAGTATTAGCAGGTTACACTCATGGTTGCCTGTGGACAGCGAACCAACCTCACAAACACACAGAAAGGCAGATGCTCAGATCATACAGAAATACCTTGACAAATAACAAATTAGTCCATTTGCTGGCTTCCTCAGTGGATGCCCATGACAGTGCAGGCATGGCAGATAGCTATACAGTCCTTTGAAGTACCAATACTAAAATCCAGGAAAGGGAGATTTCACACTTATCCAGTACTATAAACTCTCTAATCATAAAACAACCATTTTATCAGTGCCTGCGGAACAATTTTTTAGGTTATCATATAACATTTGGGTATTCTTTGGTCCTATGACTTTAATAAAGACTCCTGAGCTGGCATATCACACAACAGAAACAGATGTAACTTGAAGAAGACCTGTTCTTTCACTCAGTTCCAGCTTCCTTTGTTTTTCCTCTGCAAAACAAAACTCTCCAAAATGGAACATGGTACACCTATAACATTATACATCAATCATCACAGCATTCAGATAAAATATAAAAGGAATTTTCGCAGTGTAAATTCTAATCACCTGGGAATGAACTCGACCACTTACACCACATCCCTCAAACTCGAAAAACCTCTCAAAAACAGCTCAAAGAAGCACATGATGGAACTGAGTGGGTAAATGCATGATTATTCATCATTTGCCCCAACCAGTCATCCTGCTTTTCACTCGCAAAGAATGGCAGGTGAGCTGAAAATGCAAAGTTGCTGGTCTCTGCTAAAAAGGCCTATTTTGACCCAAACAGATAGAAGCCATCGCATGAACCTGTGAAGACCACAGAAAATGGACGGACTGTTAAACTGAAGAAAGAGGCAGAAACTACTACTTCTGTTACCAGTGAGATAAGAAGACATGTACCTATACCCTAATAAAAGTTCTTGAGACGCTAACCTCCAACATGGTAGAGCCTATTTGTATAGCAAGATATGGCAGATGACAGCTGCTGATTTAGTTCAATTTTAGGGTGGATGAACTTACTTTGGAAAAAACCTCACAAAATTCTGGGACTTGCCAACCCTCATTAACATATGCAGGGCTTTTTCAGTACCTTCTGACCTCTTTCCTAAGACAAGTTTATCTCACAATCGCAATTTCTCAATTGAAGAGTCTCACTCTTTAGGTGGCACACATTCCCAATGAAATGCCTCAAAATACAGACATACAAACAAAACTTGACCTAACAAGTTGATGCCCATCAGCTAAAACTCCTAAGCTTGTTCCCATCCTACAGCGAAACACAACACAAAATGCATGACCTTAAGTCTCAGTGAAGGTATTCTACACTATTCATGAATCTCACAACACAGCCGGGACAAACTTGCTGCTCAAATACAGGCACTGTAGAGCCTGCAAAACAAACACGCCTCTGCAAGCCAATCAAAACCACAGCCAGAGTACACCTTTTGCAATTTATAAGCACTGGTGTTTCATCTATACAGTTATCCTAGTTTTTTGCCCTCCAGAAATTCTAGGAAACACTTCTGTGTGATGGCATTATGGACGGCTAAAAAGGATCAAGATCAAGAAACTGTGTGGCTTCTGAACATTTTAATTCACATCCAAGCAGTATTTTAAATTGCTTACATTTTTGAAACTCATTATATTCAGTTTGCAGCCTACACAAATCCCTTTCAATCTCCAGAAGAATCATTCATCAGCAGATTAGTAACTACTGCAAAGCACTATCTCATGTCCAGTTTGCATGTTACAAAGAACTGTACTTTATCTGAAACAATGCAAATGTTTTCACAGAAGGAACATAGTTTCAAGAGACAGGTCTAAAATCTCAAAGATTTGCAAGGACATCAAAAATCATTTCAGATTTTTTATAGTTCTCAATACAGCAAACATCAAGCATTTTTTACAATAGAAAAACTTGGTAATGTTAAATAAATTTATAAAAGTATTTTCAGTCCAAATTATAATTTTGGAAAACAGTCAA